TCCTCACAAGAGCACTATGAAGAAGGTATTACTAGCTCCATTGTGTACCCCATTAAGGAATAGATGCTTAGAAACATTAAACTAAGTTCCCAAGTCCCCTAGCTAGTGAGTGGCAGAGCAGAGATTTACATCCAGAACAGTAAGAACCCAAAATTTACTGGGAATTTTTTTAATAGTAGAATTTATGGTAAGAGCAAACCAGTCCATAGGAAATGAGGGCCCGTAGTGTTTTCTAATTTGGATGAATTGTTGTTGTTGTTGTTGTTAGGTGCTGTCGAGTCAGTTCTAACTCACAGCAACCTATGTATAATAGAATGAAATGTTGCCTGGTCCTGTGCCAGCCTCACAATCATCGCCATGCTTGAGCCCATTGTTGCAGCCACTGTGTCAATCCATCTTGTTGATGTCCTTCTCCAGAGACTTGTCCCTCCTGATAACAAGTCCAAAGTAGGGATTACATTTAAAAAACCTGAATTCCAGCTTCTCTTTTTTAAAAACGATTGGGCCCCGTGGGCTCATATTCCTGCATGGCAGCAGTGAGACCCTAAGGAATGGCCACTTTCTTTAGGTATATGTGTTTTTCAGGTGGAAAAACCCACTGTACTCCCACTGCATTACTCCTGGTCCACTTCATTCACCTGGATCACTTGTTTGGCACCTGTACACATTTGATTTTGCAATCCTTAATCTAGTCTCTAGAGCCAGTTGTCTGAGGGTTGGAGTCCTGGCTTTTGCTGACTATGTGACTTTGGATAAGTTACTTAATCTCTCTAGGCCTCAGTTTTCTCATCTCTAAGATGGGGATAAGATTAGTACCTAGCTCTTGTTTTGAAGATTAAATGTCATTCATATAAAATGCTTATGCTCATGAGGAACCTGTACATAGATCAAGAGGCAGTCATTCGAACAGAACAAGTGGATACTGTGTGGTTTAAAATTAGGAAAGCTGTGCATAAGGTTGTATCCTTTCACCATACCTATTCAATCTGTATGCTTAGCAAATAATCAGAGAAGTTGGACTATATGAAGAAGAATGGGGCACCAGGATTGGAGGAATACTCATTAACAACCTGTGATATGCAGATGACACAGCCTTGTTTGCTGAAAGTGAAGAGGGCTTGAAACACTTACTGATGAAGATCAAAGACCACAGCCTTTGGTAAGGATTACACCTCAACATAAAGAAAACAAAAATCCTCACACCTAGACCAATGAGCAACATCGTGATAAACAGAGAAAAGACTGAAGTTGTCAAGGATTTCATTTTACTTGGATCCACAATCAACACTTATGGAAGTAGCTGTCAAGAAATCAAAAGACACATTGTTGCATTAGGCAAATCTTTAAAGTGTTGAAAAGCAAAGATGTCACCTTGAAGACTAAGGTGCTTCTGACCTGAGCCATGGTGTTTTCAGTAGCCTCAAATGCATGCAAAAGCTGGATGATGTGTAAGGAAGACCGAAGAAGAGTTGATGCCTTTGAACTGTGGCGTTGGTGAAGAATATTGAATATACCATGGACTGCCAAGAGAATGAACAAATCTGTGTCGGAAGAAGTACAACCAGAATGTTCCTTAGAAGCAAGGATGGCGAGACTATGTCTCACGTACTTTGGACATGTTATCAGGGGGATCAATCTCTGGAGAAGGACATCATGCTTGGTAAAGTAGAGGGCCAGCGAAAAAGAGGAAGACCCTCAATGAGATGGATTGACACAGTGGGTGCAGCAATGGGCTCAAGCATGGCGAGGATTGTGAAGATGGCTCAGGACCAGAAAGTGTTTCACTCTGTTGTACATGGGGTCGCTATGAGTTGGAACCGACTCAATGGCACCTAACAACAACAACAACGACAACAACAACATGGTGCTTGGCACATAGTAAGGTCTCTATAAAGGCCAGGTGTTATTATTAACCACTATTCTGATTAACCACTATGTAACAATGGCATGGTGGAGGGGTCTGACCTCCTGCAACTTCAAAAGGGGGAAAGAGAATCAAGGTCAACAGCCCAAGGCTGATTCCTAGGAGGTGGAAGTCAGACATGCCTTCTCTCTCTGCCATCTTCGCCAATTCTGATGCCAACCGTCCCTCCCACGGCACCCTCTACTTCTTTGCTGGGTTCGATAATTCCTTGCAATGGCCACACTGAACTCATGATTATGACAATACTCACTATTATGGGGTTTATTATGGAAGTAACAGGTTTCAATTCAGGTTCAGGAATGCTCAGGATACAGTTTTTCCATCAGGACAGCCTCTTCTCAGCTGTGCCTATAGGCACACCTCTCTCTGGCCCCTCAGCCTCTTGGGTCAGTGTTAAAAAGCTCTTTTAGTTCAGCTAATAAGTGCCAGGAGGCACCTTACTCCACCAGTAAGCCTCAGCCTGGCCCGAAGGCGCTCAGCTCTAACTCCATGGGTTGGCAAACCTAGCTCCTCCAAGTGCCTGGAGGCTCCCTACTCCACCAGCAAGCCTCCTGCCTGAAGGTACTCAGCTTTCTCGCTCTGTGGGCCATGCCATCTCTTACCAGTCTCCTGGTTCTGCTGCTGCTATCTTTGCTGTTACAGCTCTCTCTCTTGGTCTCCTGGTTCAGGAGGTTTTCAGCGTAGGGATCCCGGGTCCAAAAGACGCACTCCACTCCTGGCTCTTTTTTCTTGGTGGTGGTGAGATCCTCCCTTCCAACCTCTGCGATGGCTCATTTTAAGCCTAGCAGGATGGCAAAACTGACCGATCCCCTCATTAGGGTTCCATATACCATATTTGCATGGTCCCACCTGATGTGGGTGCCATGAACTTTACCTGTATTTTTAGCAAACTATCCAATCCCTTTGGTGGGCCACAATTACATTATTTGCATAGTCCCACCCATTCACTTGGGTGGGAGTTACATGACCATGGTGAGAAAGGTCATATAAAAGAGATCCATCGCACCGCACTCTATCTCCTCAGAAAGTGATGTTCCACAAAGTTTGAACAAGAAACCTTTTCCAGGTTCCCCCAAAGTGTGAACTAGGCTATTGGAACCATTGGCCATGGAAACATGATTGCCTTTTAATAGGCAATATAGTACATGGCCTTGACATTAGACTGGCATGGTTCAAGTTGAATCTCTGACATCATGAGGACCTTGGTAAAATTATTTCACCTCTTTCTGACTCAGTCTCCTCACTTCACAAGGTTGTCGTGAGGCACAAGTGAGTTAATACACAGAAAATGCTGAAGAACGGTGCTTGGCACATATTATGCACTCAATAAATGTTACTATTGACAATAATAAATCAGAGCTTGCAGCCTCTTAGTACACATTTGCTTGTGGGAGATGAAGAACATGATTGAAACTAGATTGTCTTGAAAAATCTGGGAAATTTGGAAGCTGAAACTCTTGCCTTCATTTCCCATTTCATAATGCTCTGCAGTCTGGATCTGTTTCCTCCATCCTCCTAAAAATGTCACTCGTGAAGGTCACTTGTCAAGTCACAGCCATGGCCTCTGCCCCATCTTCTAGAGAAGACAAGGATTTTAGAGGTCAACCAGTCTAGCATGGTTAATTCCCAAAAGCTGAGGCTGAGAGAAGGCCTGTGGCTTGCCCACAGCTAATTTGTGACAGACCCAAAGTTATCAACTTTACTGGGTTGTTTATTTACTAAAAGACACTGACCCTCTCACTTCAGGATTTATATCTATTTTGACAAGCAGGGGGTGGGGGGGGGTGGGTTTTGGAATACAACATGTGGTTGGTATAAGAACTCCTCTCTCTCCTCTTTCCCCTGGCTTGCTTTGCCCCACAAATCTTGCCTAATAAGGGCCTGGCCTGGTTGCTATGTTAAGAGGGCCGCTTCGTCTTTCCAAGCAGGACCCGGGCCCTGTGACCTCCCCACCACCGGCCCCCCATAGCATGAAGACCTGGTTTCCTGGTGGGTAATGTTTTCCCTTCCCCGCGACTTGCCTTTCTGGGGCAGTGTTCCGATTTCCCTGCTGGCTCCTTTGTTTCCTTGGGCTGGCTGCCTTGTTTGTCGGTTTTTAGCGAGGGCTCTGATAGATGCCAGGAGGTGAGGGGAAGGGCTTCAGATAGGCTCAATCATTGGACAAACCCACTCAGTGATGGATGAACCTTGTCCCTAGGGAGTTTTGGGTCAGGAGAAACCCAGCTGATAAGTTTTTCCAGAATTGAGTAACCCAGAAACAGTGCCAGCAGGATCTTACCTCTTTTGTGGCTTTTTGTATTAATTGTAAAGGAAATCCTCAGCTGCATTTCAGCATCTTACTAGAAATACTGCTATATCCCTGATAGATTTAGATATATTCGATATGAATTGCTTTAGAAATAACATTTGAGGAGAGGGATGGGAAGAAGGAAGAGAGGGTCTTAAAAAAAATCGCTATCAAAATATTTTCTTTCTTCCAAATATTGAAAAGGCATAATATAACCCTTTCTTCTTCCAAATGATCTCATAGCTATTTATTGAGAGGAAATACCAAATGTTTATTTATTTATTTTTTTTAAGGAGCGTCTTCGGTCCTGATGATTCATGTTGATATCATTTTCCTCCTAACTCTGAGATAAAGCTACACCCCAAGTGACATGCCGGTGTCAGAACAATTCCTGTCCTGCAGGAGGTTCTGTGACCTTCTTTATTCCCCCTTCACAGACGTCCTTGAGCCCTCCAGACGGATGTGAGCGAGTTTTTCAATCCTCATGCAAAACAACCATCTAAACATAACAGATGACATCAGCTTGGGCTTTTCAATTCCTGGATGGCAGCAGCGTGTTAATCCAGCCTTCATCCTGGATTTCATAAACTAAAACAAGAGAGCCTGGCAGGAGGACAGCGCTGCTGCTGGGTTGAGGAAATTGATGACGGGGAAGCATGCGGGCAATCCAGTGTATAAAACTCATAAACGTGTAGGCAGAGGCTCAGCTACCACTTTGGAAGCTGGACGGCTGCTTCCCACCAGCAAAGACCACGACGCAGGAAGCTGAGCCTGAGCCTGCTGGGAGACATGAAGAGCTTCTTGCTGCTAACCGCTCTCCTTGTACCTGTGCACCTGGTGACGGCCTGGAGCACCAAGTATGCGGTGGATTGCCCTGAACGTTGTGACAGTAACAATTGCAAAAGCAGCCTGAGCTGCAAGAGGACAGTGCTCGACGACTGTGGCTGCTGTCGCGTGTGTGCCGCAGGGCTGGGCGAAACTTGCTACCGCACAGTCTCGGGCATGGATGGCGTCAAGTGTGGCCCGGGGCTAAGGTGTCAGTTTTACAGTGAGGAGGATGATTTTGGTGACGAGTTTGGTATCTGCAAAGGTAAAGAGTGACCCCTTGCTTCTCCCCGCACAGGGCCAGCCGAGGGCTTTTAGCCAGCTTGGGAGGTGAGGAAGCTTTCCTCTTAACTACTAAGAGGGAAAATGCACTTGGGTTATTGACCCAGAACAGGCATTGTCAGAGGCAGAGGGAGAAGCGGAGCTCTGCCTGTAGCCATATAAATCAGTATGCAGGGAAGCACAGAAAGAGATACAGTATTTTCACTCATAATGTTTAGGAGATTTAAGGAAAAATGTTGCAATGGAAGATTATGCTGCCTCCTTCTCTGGAAACTTTAAAAACATGACAGGTAATCCATTATGGATGGTTGAGGTGCCATCTCCTCTGCCAGGCAGTGATTACAGAGGTCTTCACTAGATAACCTCTTGGAATGGTTTCTAGCCCCGGGTTTTAGTGATTCTTTGATCATGACGGGGTTCACAGGGTGGAGGGCATCGCTCAAGGTCAAATATTTCTGATGGAGGCTAATGTACTTTATGGAATAGAGTGGGCTTATGACATCTAACCAAATGGCTCAGATTTTTGGAAGAGGGTACCCTGAAGTGTAAAACAGACTTCATTCTACTTTATAAAGGTTTTGGTCATTTAGAAAAAGTAGATGGTGTAATGCAAGCAAAAATATCAGTAAGGAAACATAAAAATCAGAAATCTGTAAAGAATGAGGATGGCAGTCTTCCATAGGCATAGAGGAACTTTATTTGGTTGAAATTTATAGCTAAATAATGTAGTTCAGTGTTTGTAGAATTTATTTTAAAATTAGTTACTGTAGTTTAAAATGTTCAGAATTAAAAAGAATGGTGATTTTAAATTACCAGCCCTGGTGGTGTAATGGTTAAGAACTTGGCAGCTAATCAAAAGTTTGGCTGTTCGAGTCCACCAGCTGCTCCTTGGAAGCCCTATGGGGCAGTTCTACTCTGTCCTATAGGGTCACTATGAGTCGGAATTTACTCGACAGCAACGAGTTTTGTTTTGTTTTTTTTTTTAAATTTTTTATGGATACCTACTGAGCTCATCATTAAGAGCTGTTATTGAGATGTAACATATATTCTGTAGCCCCATTCATCAGTTTTATAATACAAAGAAGCTTTTAAAATTATTAAAAAGATTGGGAAATTTTAAAAATAATTCTTATATTTTAAGTATTTGGTATAATTGTATTCTTTTATGCGTGATAATCACTCATTATTGAGCTAGTCTCAGCTAATCTCATTATTTCTCCTTTTAGACACATACTGTATAAATTAATCTCCTTTTAACCCACAAAATATACTAAAGGTTAAGAAATAAATGTTTGAACTACTAGGAGAAATTTAGTTTTTGTTTATAACCAATAAAAGGTAGAATACTGATGAAACATTTCCTTTGGTGAACATACGCGTTTCTTTCGACTTACCAGGATCTGTAGTTTCTGTAAATTACAGGGCTTATCAGCCAAGAAAACAGTACTTCACATACGGAAATTGGGGAGGAAGTGGTTAACACCATCATACTTATGATATAGCAAGAATATGCAGTGGATTGCTTTTTCTCTTGGCAAAAAAATTTCCTTGTAAATGTACAATCACTGTAAGTAAAGAAACAAGCTGTAAGGCATCTGGAGTCTTTAGTAGTATGATACTTCACTGAATGATCAGGGTAGATGCTAATGAGCTATATTTTTAAAGAGATCTAGACTTGCTCTTTTCCCACATCCTTCAGATTGCACCTGAGCCTGGTTTTAAACATTTTTCTTTCTGCTAGGCAGAATAAACCTATGTGAGCCTCAGCAACTCTAAATGGAGATCTTCTATTTTGCTGCAGGCAAACTCCCTCCTTGAGCACTTCTACTGAACACCCACGTGGAAACTGTACACTTCAGCTGCATAGCCAGATGTTTTCTAAATATTCAGATGTTTGGCATTGTGTTGCCCAGATCACAATCAACCAGCCAACACATATTTATTGAACACTTACTATATGCCTGGCACTGCTCAGAACATCAGAGGATACAATAGGAGTACCACTGGGAATTTGACCAACATTTTTGTTTTCAGTATCATGAACATCACTGCAGACACAATCAAATCCTGATCCTGTGTGATTTTATGCAAGAGGCTTTTTCAAGATCCCTTTTAAGGACTAGTCTTCCCAGCAGGGAGAAAAGTGTTTGAAACTAGGCTCTTCCGCAACCTGAAAGATGCTGAAAAGAGCGATCTAAATCTCTTTAAAAATACATCTTCTTAACATCTATCTTGATCATTCAGTGGAATACTAGATTGCCAAAGGCAGTCTAGTACTTACAGCTTGTCTCTTTACCCATATGTGATTGTGCCTTTACAAGGATATTTTCATGCCAAGAGAACAAACATTCTACATCTATTCTCCTTGGTTCTTAAAGACTGGTTCATCTACGGAGATGTCATTTATTTCATCAAAACCATGCATTTTTAATAAACGAGTTTATCCTCTTAATCTTAATATAGGATGTTTTAGTCCAAGTATAAGAACATCGGAACTCTAAAGCTTCTAGTTTTGGGTAGGTATATAAATAGTTAACCCTCAGCTTTCTTGTTCACTTAGTGTATAACATCTTAACTTTGCAGAGGGTTTTACTAGTGAATCCTAACAACTGAGGAAGTGAGATAAATTGTACCACCGTTTGACAGATAAGGAACTTGAAAGGAGTGGGAGTGGCTCCCTAGAGGATTGATCATGTCAACTAATTAATTGGTAAACTGGATGACAGTCCTCTTAGTCCTGCTAGTTCGAAGACCCTCCTTATGCATTTGAAAGAGTACATTGTCTCAGTATACAGTGAATTCAAAGACAACATCACACATCTTTTAAACTCTTTGAGGAGCTGACGGATCTATTTGTTCAATTTCCCACCTTCATTGAGCTGTTGCAGTGGTAACCTATGACAACCTGCTAATGGGTATTTAAGCAGAAAATAAACAGAATTACGACTGGGCCAAGGGGACTGGTTATGCGTAACTGCCTTCAACTAAACTTTGCAGCAAGGCATTACAGCTGAGCCTGCAGTCCATTTTCTGGTCTTAGTGTTCTGAGTGTCTTCAGATTTTGTACTTTGTGATATAAAGATTCAAATTTCAAAGCTTGAGTTTTTCGAGAATTGGGTTTTATTTTACTGCCAAGATTCCTGAGATTTGTTCAAATCCTAAGGCTGTGCCTACAGGAGCTGTTAAGATGGGGCTTATGCACATCAGCCCTCTCTCTTAACCCTTTCCTTGCCCTCAGACTGCCCCTACGGCACCTTTGGAATGGAATGCAAAGAGACCTGCAGCTGTCCTTCAGGCATATGTGACAGGGAGACCGGCAAATGCCTCAAATTTCCCTTCTTCCAATATTCAGTAGCCAAGTCCTCCAACAGGAGATTTGTTTCTCACACAGGTAAGAATCGATTCTGTATAAACACTGGTATCAGAGTCTCATTTTCAGTTTGAAAACTTGAGAAAAATATCAGTGAGTAGAATTATTGTTAGGTGCCATTGAGTCTATTTCGACTCATGGCAACCCCATGTGACAGAGTAGAACTGCCCCAAAGGGTTTTCAAGATTGTAATCTTTATGGGAGCGGATTGCCAGATCTTTCTCCTGTGGAGCCACTGGGTGGATTCAAACTTTGGACCTTTCAGTTAGCAGCTGAACATTTAACTGTTGTACCACCATGGCTCCTTGTGGGTAGAATAAGATGTTAATTTGTATGATTTTGTTTTCTGTATTTCACACAGGGGAAGGATGGGTGGTTATTGCATTTGGTTGTTATGGCTGTTTTTAAAAAGTTTGCATTAACCGTTCTGAGGATAATGTACCCAGTATATATGAAGGATAAATATGATTAATTACTAAAGAACCTGTAATTAAAAAAATAACCAACTGAGATTCACAAAGTTCTTTAAATTCTTTAGTGATCTGTTTTATATACTTAGCGGACAAAGCTACTTCTCTCCCAACTTCACATAGAAAAAATACTCAGGAATTTATTGGATAAGGTTTAAGCGCCAAGATAGAAAATATAGAACATTTCTTTATTTTTTTGAGCCAAATGGAGACACTTAAATGGAATCATTCCAAGCATGCATTTTTATGGAGAGGGTGAAAGAGAGTATCTGTGATTGAAATTTGGGAAGTGAATGTAATTGTAGTTAATACCATGTGCTTCTTGTTAGTCCACGTGTATTTCTTCCACAGGTTGTTAGGAAGTGAGAAATACACAGCTTGTAAGATGGTGGGAGGCACATATTTGGTTATCTGGTTGAATAAATGGTCACTACAGTAAGCTTCATTAAGTTGAACATAACTCATTTAAAACAACATGTAGCCACAGCAACTTCTAATATCAACAAACTAGTTGTTGATCCAAATCCATTTTATTTAGGTTTTTTTCCCCCTGGTCTGTCATACTTCAAATTAATTAAGATGTAAAATATTTGGCAAATGTGCGTGTTTTTCCAGCTTTACCTCCTTCCTACAGATGGGTACAACCAAGCATATTAAAATGAAGGGGAAATATTGTGCATTTAAGTGAACTATTTGAGTGTGGCTATGCCCTTAAACATTGATGTAAAATGAAAACTTCTTTTTACCTGTTAGGGGGGTATCTTTGTGAATATTTGATGGGGAAATGGAGACATTATAAACATCTTACATATTTATGATTTGTCCCTATAGTCATTGAAAAGCAAGATAGAAAAGCACTGGATTTCACAAGAGCTGAAATTTTTTCTTTTATTGTTGTGGTGAAATTCATATAACATAAAATCAATCGTTACAGTAGGCAGTTTGGTAGCATTAAGTACATTCACAATGCTGTGCACTGCACCACCACCTCTATCTAGTTGCAGATCATTTTCATCATCCTAAAATAAAACTCTATACCCATTAAGCGGTTACTCCCCATTCTCCCCTCCTCCCAGTCGCTAGCAACCACCAATCTGTTTTCCGGGACCTGAACAGTTTCTGAATAGTTAGATTGCTTTTAGTACTGGTTTGAAAGCTATCATCTCAGTATAGCTAGGTGCTTTGAACACTTGCAGCTTCTTTTTGTCTTATTTTGCTTTCTTAAAACCACAAACTAAAAAGTATTTTGAGGGGACAGCTCACACATTTAAGGTCAGATCTAAACCTTTCCCACCTAGATAGAAAGTTGAATCCATGATGACTCTTTGTTGGTGTCTGGGGTGAAATCTATGGGGAGCTATGAGCGCACCTTTGAAATAATCCTCCTTGACGGGAACCCTTCTTTACGTCTTGCCTGTGTCCCTCCTGCTGCACATGACAAGCTGCGTTTCCTCTTGGCCTGTCTTCACTGGGCTGCCCTGCAGTGTCTTTCCTCAGGCCTGTCACCCTCTCTCATTTGCTTGCAGATTTTACAAATGTCTTTACTGCTATATGATACAGATTTATTTCTGGGTGAGAGTTACATTATAAGTTACACGAATATATTTCTATACCAAAATTAGGTATCAAGATCCTTACTAGAAATTTATGGAAAAACAGTCGATTTTCTCCCTTCTCTGACCTAGAGTGTTTCCTTTCATTGGCCACAAAAAGTGATACTAGCATAACCTTGGTAAACCTCAGTCAAGTTCTGAATGGAGAGCATTATATCCTAAAGATTGACGGAGAGACTTCCTAGGAGCCCCCATGCTCATTGTGTCTTGGCTATATGAGGCTTCCTGGGGTTTATGTGCTGTAGTTTACAGGAGGGGGGCTGGGGGTCTCAGTCCTGCCACAGGCTTCACATCACTCTGCACAGACCTCTTTGGGACCAGCCTTTGAGAGCAGGTTAAATGGCTCCGAGGTTTACCAGCACAGGGATTCCCCGAGGTTCCACACCTTGATTGTGTGAGATCATCTTCTCCTACTTTCTAATTGTTGACTGCAACATTCCTGGAAAGTGGGCTTCTACTGGAATGTTTCGAGAATTTACATGCATTCGTGCTAGTCCTTATAACACCCCATTTCAGGATGTGCACTGCTGAAGCAAACACACCTCACTACTCTTCGAAGCAGAACATTTCATTTTAGAAAATAACTACATAATACAAACTTTTACATAGAGATAAGTTCTGTCCTTTGGTCTGTCTTCTACCTCTTGGAGCTACATCAATAAGCTAATCCTTTTCCCATATCATTTAGTGTAAACATCTTACATAGAGATCTATTTTTACAGCATTTGCTCATTCAAGAAATATTTACTGAACACCTACTATGTTCCAGGCACTGTTATAAGTGCTGGCAATGTAGCAGTGAACAAAATAAAGTCCCTGCCTTCATGGAGCTGATATTCCAGTGGTGGTCAGAGATAATACAGAGAAAAAAAAAAAGACAAATACCATGCTTAAGATAACATCAGGTGGTGGGTGGTGTATGAAGAGAAATAATTCAAGGGGGTTCTATCTTAGACCCAAGGTGCTAATTTAGATGGAGTGGTGAATATAAGTAGCACATAATCTTTATATATATTAAACTAAAGATTTCATTATGAATTCCATTGTTAAAAAAAAAAAAAAGACAAAGCTTTGTTTGATCTTGGAGTTATCAACATTTCAGCATGATTTGTATTCCTTCTAATTTCAGAGCATGATGTGGCATCTGGAGATGGAAATGCTGTGAGGGAAGAAATTGTGAAAGAGAATGCGGCCCGCTCTCCTGTAATGAAATGGTTAAACCCACGCTGATACTGATGGGATTTCCAAGTGAAGGCATTACTTTCATGATTGTTCAACACACAGGCAACATTTAGGAACTGTCTAGATTATAGCATATGGACGTATAATTTTTGGAGACCAATTGCAATTCAGGGTGGGCCCAGAGGAAAAGAAGTAGGCTACTTGCAATCTGTAAAATGCATATGACTGAACACTTTTAGATATTTGTTGACTATCTGAATGCTGAACATATAGATTTGTTAAGTATGTGTATAGTATTACTGAAGAACTACGAACGTCATTTAGATCACGTTAACATGAAGGCAGGTCAGTCAAAGCGAAATCTAGCCAAAGCCGAAGAGCATGGTGAGCCTGAGTGTTCTTTGACTGGGATGTACATTAATGTTGGGATGCAGGATGAAGGAAGAGTTAGGAGCAAGGGAAGGTGGGGGTGGGGGCACAGGAGTATAATATTTAGCTCTTCTTTGTGGCAGTTTCAATAGAATTTAAATGTGCTTTTTTACTTTGGGAGAAGTCAGACCAAAACAACCAGAAAACCCCTGAAGGAAGTGGGATGTTTGAAGCTGGTGGGAATTTGAGTAACCGCCTTGAATTGAGGCTGGTTTCAAAGGGCTGCTAATGTCGTCCCCAGGTTACGTGTATCTGAGGGATGATTCTGTGGCAGATGGCAAGCATACACTTCCATACATGGTTTTAAAGAATGCAACCTCAGAGGTAGAGCTAGGAAGTGTTTTGCCCACTTGTGAGGGTAAATATTTATATATTTTTGTACAAAAATTTTTTTTACTATGAGTCATCCTCCATACTCTACCCATATTTATCATCCTCTTGAGGAAATGAACATATTATGTTGTTTAAAATGGTTAGATAAAGATGTAACTCTATAAAGTTTTCAAACATTAGAGCCATTGTAAATTTATTATTAATAATTACAATAATATTAACAGTAATAAACATAAGAGAAACCCAGAAAAATGCAGTCACTATGGGTTTATAAATTGTCAAAAATGAACAACAGAGAGAATTTATTTAAAAGTAGATGTAGTGACTTAGATGAGTTTTAAATTTAAAGTAAAAAATAACTTCTTAAGAGGTTTGTAACCGAAGAGTCAGTTTTCAGCAGGAAGCAAGTCAATTTTAAGATATGGTTCGTTTTCATATTTCTTTTTCTTTCAAACATGAATGAGAAATACAGCTGGGAGGATCTTAGCACAAATAAGTTTGTTGTAATAAATGCCTTTAGGAAATATTTGCAGAAGTATTTTATTTGGAGAGAAGAACTTATTTAAGAATTATCTCACTATTTACCTATATTTTATTCTAGAAGTTTGTCAACAGAGTTGTGGATATGCGTGTGGGAGGGTCTTTGAATATAAGCTGAATAAGCTGTTTTGTTTTAAAAGGATGAGTTTATTACTGTTCAATAAAAAAACAAGACACAGCTGGTCTGAGTCAATTCATGATTTCAATTTATTTTAATGATTCATGCAAATGAATTTAATATGCCTTTCATGCATATTAAAAGGCAGGTTCTTTAACTGAATTTTCTGCTACAGATAAGCCTCTTCTACCAAAACAGGAGGCTAGCACTCTTATTTCTTTGCCTTACATTTTTGGTCTACTTGTTCCTTCTAGCATTTTTTTAAAAGTTGTTATTGCTGTTGAGTCAGCTCTGACTCATGGAGACCTTATGCGTAACAGCACAAGAAGTTGCCTGGTCCTGTGCCATCTTGTAGAACTAAAACCAAACTGGTTGCCGTCGGGTAGATTCCAACACACTGCAACCCTACAGGACAGAGTAGAACTGCCCCATAGGGTTTTCCAAGGAGCGGCTAGTGGATTCAGACTGCTGATCTTTTGGTTAGCAGCCCTATCACTTAATCACTGCACCACCAGGGCTCCTGTGCCATCTTGTAGGTCCCTATATATTAACCTGTTTCATGGAGGCAAAAAAGATGAACACTTCTATCTGTGTCGTAAGTTAGCTGGGGAGCTAAGGTTTGAAATGACAGTTTCTAGGTCCCTTCCTTGGTTGGCTCTGTCACAGCATTGACACTGAACTCAGAGCATGTTTTGTTCTGTTTCATTGCTTTGTTTTCTCTTCCTGGATTTTAACTTCTTGAAAGTAAAAACTTTCCAAATAAACAGCTCTAGATTCTGGGCAAAAAAAAAACCATTGCCGTGGAGTCAATTCTGACTCATAGCGAACCTATAGGACAGAGTAGAATTGCCCCATAGAGTTTCTGAGGAGCACCTGGTGGAGTCAAACTGCAGACCTTTTGGTTAGCAGCCATAGCACTTAAGCACTACACCACCAGGGTTTCCGGATTCTGGAAGGAAACCGAAAATAAATTTCAATCAGTTGTTAGCTATTGACAGAAAATTACAGATCTATAAATGCCAACCCATTTTCACTTTCATCAGCTCATTTATGTTCTCCCTCATAAGTAATACCAGTATTTCATTTTCATTTGTCTCCTAATATTTTGAAAGTGATTGCACTTTAGGAAACACAAAGACAACAATTCTTTTTTTTATGAGTTAGAACATGCTTGTTGCTCCAATAGAGGCATACACAGCATACACTAACGTTTCTTTTCTTTTTTTTTTCTAATTTGTAGTGTAAGTGAAAGTTTACATTTCAAATTAGTCTCTCATACAAAAATTTATACATACATTGTTATGTGACCCTAATTGCTCTCCCTATACTGAAACAGCACACTCCTCCTTTCCACCTTTGATTTCCCCTGTCCATTCAGCCAGCTCCTAACCCTCTCTGCTTTCTCATCTCCGGACGGAAGCTGCCCATTTAGTCTTATGTATCTACTTGAGCTAAGAAGCACACTCTTCATGAGTATCATTTTATGTCCCACAGTCCAGTCCGATTTTTGTATGAAGAGTTGGCCTCGGGAATTGTTTTAGTTCTGAGTTGACAGAGAGTCTGGGGGCCGTGCTTTCTGGGGTTCCTCCAGTCTCAGTCAGACCATTAAGTCTGGTCTTTTTACTAGAATTTGAGTTCTGCACCCCACCTTTCTCCTGCTCCGTCAGGGACTCTGTTGTGTTCCCTGTCAGGGTGGTCATTGGTGGTAGCCGGGCACCACCTAGTTCTTCTGGTCTCAGGCTGACAAAGTCTCTGCTTTACGTGGCCCTTTCTGTTTCTTGGGCTAATACTTTCCTTGTGTCTTTGGTGTTCTTCATTATCCTTTACTCCAGGTGGTTGGGACCAGTTGATGCATCTTAGATGGCCGCTTGCTAGCTTTTAAGACCCCAGATGCCACTTACCAAAGTGGGATGCAGAACATTTTCTTAATAAACTTTGTTATGCCAGTTGAACTAGATGTCCCCTGAAAGCATGGTCCCCAGACCCCCGCCCCTGCTACTCTGTCCCTCAAATTGTTTGATTGTATTCAGGAAACTTCTTAGCTTTGGTTTAGTCCGGTTGTGCTGACTTCCCATGTAGTGTGTGCTGTCCTTCCCTTCACCTAATATAATTGCCTACTATCTAGTTAGTGAATAACCCTCTCCCTCCCTCCCCACCCTCATAACCATCAAAGACTGTTTTCTTCTGAATTTAAACCTTTTCAACAAGCTAATTCTTTCAGTGCCTGTAGAAGAACAGAGTAACATATAATTTTGAAGCTTGAGTGTATCACACTCAAGAACAGCATATGCTGACTCACACTTATGAGGAATTATGGAAACATTTTAAGTGAATTGATAAAAGGCTAGAAAAAATTTTGTCTGCATAAGGAAAAACATCTCATTTGCCTGAATTAATTTTTTTAAAGATGATAAACCTGATTGTGAATGAGATAAAAAGTTACATTAATGCAAGATATTAATATTCTTATTAAATAAAAACAGAGAGCACTAAAAGTCTTACCTTCCACTGGGGTGTAACGAAATTTCAGGATATTCTGTCAGGAAGTCGATTACTTAAAGATTTACAGCCTGGGCCTGAAGCCTGGACCGCAGTCTAGATGCCCCTTTAGGATAGTGTGGAGCAGTGGAACGAGAGCTAGACTGGGGCAGGGACTTGCTTCTGCTTCTAGCTCTGCAGTTACTAAGTGCGTGACCGTAAGCAATAAAGCCAAACAAAGGTGGACCCGTTAGCTCTCAGTTGTAGGCGTGTTTTCTAGCTGGCCAGCTTCATGCTACTTGGGCTCTTCATACTCTTTTCCCACATACACTGGTACCTATCTATCTCAGATTTCTCTGTTGGTTTCTGACTCTATTCTTCATTGCAGTGGTCTCCAAAATTTTTATTTTTCAGACCTCTGACTGCACATTTTTTTATTGCCATTTTTTAAGCATGCAATTTGAAGCTATATATACACTATAGTATTAACATTATGTTCATTGTAAAACATACACTCAGGCAAGACATTTTTAAACAAATATGAATTAATAACTATAAATAGAAGTTCTGAGATTTTCTTCTTACACCCCAATGGACCATTCTGGGAAGCACTGGAGAAGCAAAAGAAAATGCCACAGATCAGTGGTCTCCAACGGAGCTCAACTTCATTTAATATTGGAGAGAATCCAAGCTAACACATAGTCAACACGATAAATATTTCTCGGATATATGGATGGATGGGAGGACAGTTGGATGAGTACATGAATGAATGGATGAGTGGAGGGATGTTTGGGTGGAGGAATGAGTGAATGAATAAAGCAGGTAAGAGGCTTTTTGTCTTCACCAGAGTATCAGCTGCTGAAGAAGCAGACAGCCTCTCCTTTCCTTTCATTTGCCAGCTCCTCTCTCTTCCTGATGACTACTAGCTTGCCTGTTGGGATGTGAGGTGACTGAAGAAACTGGGTACCACGCTGGGATCAATGAATCTGACAAATAGCATTGTCCAGGGCAACAAAGGTAGGGGGATCTTCTCCCACTGGCACTGGGCACCTCACCAGTAAAACGGTAAGATAATTCCAGTAGTAGCCACAGCAGGCTGCATTTTTTATAAGAGGCAATTTGGGACGGCTGCTGTTTCCATCCTGAATTTAATTCTTTTCCTTTATCATGAGCTTCCTAGGAGGAAAGGACCGTGTTGGTGTAATCCAATATCACACAATATAACCACCAATCTTTAGATTATTGGTTGAGCACAAACCATTCGCACCACCAGGGACCTTGTACATCACATTTGGAGTAAAGTAATTACATTACATTACATTATGAAAGTAATCTGCTCTACCCATTTAATCACATGGAGCTACTCCATGACAGCAACTAGATTAGTGTTTGGCCAAACAATTGGGAATCATAACCTAGACAAGGTGACATATAAAATTAACCATCATACCAGGTGATGCAGATGCTGCTGTTCCAAGGACATGCCTAGAAGGGAAATAAACTAAGGGGGTGATCAAAGCCAATCATTGTTGACCCTGTGAAAGAATGCATTGCAATGTTTCTTAACCAGTTGGTACATTTAATTTTTCATTTGAAGATACACAACTATTTAAGCGACTCAGAGAGTCTTGAAATGTCAGAGAAACTTTAAGCTAAATTATGGGGACTTCAGGCAGAAGTAGAAGGAAGATGGAAATGAGAAAATTAGAGACTTTGGAAGTAATCAAGAAGCCTGTGTTCTCGTAGAAAGAAAGACATTCAAGGAGAGTGACCAATGTTGTCATCTGTCATGGAGAGATCAGGCAGAACTGAAGAGTCCTTAGAAGGTCACTGGTGATCACAG